AGATATATATATATATATATATATATATATATATATATAGTCTTATGAATAAAAATGACAATAGGAAAACTGGTAATTGCTGAATTACCAGTTTTCTTATTGTCATTTTTATTCATAAATATTGTCTTCTCTACCGATTAAATCGGAGAAATTTTCATATAATAGTCTGTGAACAAAATGTTCTTGACCGAAAAAGTCTCATTTGACCATAGTTGTAGAATTAGTGCTGGTCGCAAACATGATACATGTGTGTGTATGCATGCAAGCGTGCATACGTGTGTGTGTGTATGGGTGTGTGCATGCATGCTTGTGTGTGTATCTGTGCATACGTGTGTGTGTATGCATATCCATATATGAAGCCCAAATCAATGCTGAATTGGCTCATCATCTCTCATTGCAGGGCCATTTCTCAGACAAGCAATATGGACTTTCGTTCCTTCAGGTCAACTGCTGATGTAGTGACGATATTTTCAAAAGATTTTATCATGATCGAGATAAAAGCAGTGAAGCCTGGGCTGTTGCATTGTACATGTTGAAAACCTTCGAGAGGATATGGCATTCAAGTTTTCTCCACAAAGTAAAAAGTTAAGGCGTCTCCGGACACTTTTTTGAACTGCTCTAGTCTTTAGTATCAAATCATGAAATGAGAGTTATCCTGCATGGCCACTCATCTAAATTATTTCGTACTAACGCAGGTGTCCCCAGGGTTCCATCCTTAGTCCTACTCTATTTTGAATTTTTATCAATGACCTTCCTGATGTCATCAGTTCCCAACTTGGTATCTATGCTAACGGCATAAAAATTTACTCCTGCATCGATAGTAAGGCTTATTAGTCTGACAAGATCAAATGGCAGCCGATGTTCAAATCGACCTCAAGAACGTAGTTAATTTTAACTCCTCCAAAACAAAACTTCTCTCCATTAATCATCTGAGAGCCTCCTGGTGCTATCTTTCAGGAAACTGACTCGTCCCCCCTTTTAGGGCTCACGTTCTCTGTTGATATGAAGTGGAAAGACTATACTGACTCCAGTTCTAGGTCGGCTGATAAGAATATCACTTCACTATTTCTTGACAGACAATTTCTCTCCCCAGAATCTATCTTCCATATCTGTAAGCCTACTATTCGTCTATGCTCAGAATATTGTTGTCACATATGGCCCGGTGCCCTTGCTATTTACATTGAGTTCCTTAATAATCTCAAGAAGAATCTGCAATATTATCGGTCCTGATCTGGTGGCTTAGCTCCAGTCATTTTCCCACCGGCGTAAGGTTCCCTCTCTGTGTCTTTTCTATTAATTTCCTGTTCGAATGAGCTTTTCGCTATGGTTCCTAGACTTTATGAATTTAAGCGCAGTACTATACTAGCGTCGCGATCTCATTCGTTTGCAGATTTGGTGGGCATATATATTCTTGACACCTTGAGTAGAGTAGTTAGCCTTAACCAAGTCGGAATTTATAGAGATGACGGCCTAATCATTGTCCCTAATAGCAATGGCCCCTTGACTTCCAGCTTACATAAGAAGATAATTAGAGTCTTCTAATACTTAGGCCTTAAAATTGAAATATCTTTCAACCGGAAAATAGTCAACTTTTTGGATATTACACTCAATCTATCGAATGATACCTTTAAACCCTTCCATAAAGTTGATCAAACACCCCTATACATCAACCTCCACTCTAACCACCCTAAACATGTGATAGATCACATCCCCAAAACTGTGAATACGAGCCAAAAAATCTTTAATGATAATAAATTTATATACAATCAGGCCCTCAAAAATAGTGGTTTTAGACAAGAAATAAACTTTAACGGAGAACTTGTAAATCAGAATAATAACATAACTAAAAACAGAAAGAGGAAGGTAATATCGTTCAACCCACCATATTGCAGGCTCTCTAACATTGATATAGGAAGTTTCTTTCTGAAATTAATTGATAAACATTTTCATAGTAAACATCCACTACGTAAAATTTTCAATAGAAAGACACTGAAAATTAGTTACTCATGCGTTAGAAATATGGAGAAAATCATATCTTCCTATAATTGTAGAATACTTAGATACTACCATAGTAATGAAACTCAATCTTGTAACCCTACCTGCAATTGTAGGAATAAAGACCATTGTCCAATCGGGGGTAAATGAAAGTATGAAAATGTAGTATACGAGGCAACAATCTTTCCCGAGGAAAATATAAACCAGAAAAAAGATATATAGGTATATCCACCGGTTATTGGAAGTAGCGTCTATACAACCATAAACGCTCATTTAGATATAGATGCCTCAGAAATCAAACTTCCTTATCCAAACACTACTGGGATCTGGTGGATAAGTGACTAACCCCACTTTTGAAATGGAGATACTTATCAAGAGCTAGAACACCTAATAACTTCCGCGATCGGTGTGAACTGTGCATGGCGGAAAAATTTTTATTATGAAAGATAAGAAACAAGATGAACTATTGAATCTTCGTAATGAGATATTTTCTAAATGTAGACATAAGAAACGATTCAAAACATAAACAACGTTTTGTAACATGTTGTCACTTATGTCAGTTCCATCTTGGTTCGATAACATCGGGCATGACATTTTAATGGAATGACTATTATGTTTATTATGTTTATCTCTATATATATCATTGTGTATGTTTATGTGATGCGCTATGTATTTATTTTTTTAAGACCAAATTTTTGAAATTTTACTTTTTTAGATTTTACATTTTAATTTATATGTATATATATATATGTGCGTAGCTGTGTGTGTGTGTGTGTGTGTGTGTGTGTGTGTGTGTGTGTGTGTATGGGTGTATATATGTAGGTGTGTATATAGGTATATATATGTGCATGTATGGATGTATATTTATATGTATGCGTATATATGTATATTTATGTATGCGTATATGGATGTATGTATATGTAGATAGATGTATATGTAGATATGTTTATATGTGTGTGTATGTTTTGGTATGTATGCACTCATATATATCTGTATATGGGTGTATATGTATGTATACATGTATGTATGTATAGTTAGACGGATAGATATAGGGATACATTGTTTATTCGTTTAGATGGGTGTATGTAAATGTATGGAGATGTAATGTTTTATGTATATATGTTTATGTACACGCTGTTGCACCCGGTATTTGGGAAGGAGATTAGAATAATCCAGAACCTATAGCGGCAGCAAACTGCTCACAAACGGATAAAAGCGATGTAAGATATCGGTGATTTCTCATTGGAGTTATTCAACCTGTACTTTAAGTATTGGCGGTCACAGTCTTAACATCATAAAATATGCAGATGAAATGGTGTCGATAGCAGAGACAGAAAAGAAACCACAATAACTCCTACAGAATGTAGTGACGTAAAGCGAGAAGAAAGGATTAAACATCCATTGCAATAAGACAGAATACTAGTTGTTAGTCAAAGGAACAGCCGAACATACAAATTATAAATTGAAGATACCAACATCGAAAAATTTAACAATTTAAATAACTTGTAAGTGTTTTAACAGAGGACGGAGAATACGACACTGAAATCAGAAGGTGCGTTGGGATAATTAAAGATGCCTTCCAAAAGCTAATCGAAATATTAAGAAACAGAAAAAAAATCCGTTAGAAAATTTGGCACTCCTAGGACATGCTGAAAAAAAGAGGGACTGAGAGAAAGAGCGAATAAATATCATGGAAGTTTTTAAACATTGAACGGAAAGTGAGACAACGAAATCCGAACGATGTCGTAAGCAAAGAAACAGAAAATTTCGTGAGAAACAGAGTATGAAGAAACAGAAAAAATCATTAGAAATAAGGAAATGTGTTCCGAACAGTTATGTAATATGAGTCCTTCTATATGAGGGTTAATGCTGGGCAATTTCCACACAGATGAGGAAGAGACTTGAAGCAACAGAACTGTGTTTCTTTATTAGAGTGTTGAGAATACCAAAGACCGAATATATGAGCAACGGCGAAGCTTTAGATAAAATGGAAACAGAAAGTACATTTAAAAGTATCATCAGAAAGACACAGTTGAAATCTTTAGCAGGGCATAATGAGAAAAGAGGACTTTTAAGATTTGATACTGAAAGAACAGATTAAAGTCAAAAGAGTCAGTTGAAAATTACCTGCCGAGCTTGAGTAAATGGATGACGGAACAATGTTTAGGAAATATAACAAAAAGATCAAATATATTAAGAGCTACAAGGTACCGGAAATTGTGGAGAATCCTGAAGGCACATGGTAAAGAGAAAAAAAAAGAATCCACTTCAGTGCCGAAAAAAGCAATATTTTGAAAACTATTCCTACAATAAATTGATTTCATTTTAATTTCTTCAAGTTATTGCACATTTGTAAAAGGAAATGGTAAATATTTATATCTTTCCTTCAGTCTCAAAGACATCACGCCCGGCGATCTTAACTTAAATGATAGGAGAAACGTGATTTAAATGAAATCACAGATCAAATGGTCCCGGAGATATTGCAGTCAGAAAAGAGAGATGAATTACTCTAGCTATGAAATACAAATTATCAATACAGAATTTTTTTTTTTTTTGTTTTGTTTGTGTGTGTGTGTGTGTGTGTTTTTGTGTGTGTGTGTGTGTGTGTGTGTGTGTGTGTGTGTGTGTGTGTGTGTGTGTGTGTGTGTTTGTGTGTGTGTGTGTGTGTGTGTGTGTGTGAAAAATTTTTGTCTCAATTAGTCATGAATCTTTACTTTCAGATGTCTTTTAACATCTCATAACTCAAATGTCTATAAAATAATACTCGATGTTTTGTTTTTTTGTTTTTTCAATCTAATTTAATGACAAACTGCAACTGATATCTGCATAATATTTGTACCAGTAGACTGTTTTTTTGTAGCGATAGTGTCACTATTTAACACTGTTTCCTAATTAATCAGTAAATATTTAATATTTGCTCGAGTTAAGCTAATTAACGAGCAAATAATTTGTGAAATAAAAAATATTTGATATTCATATGTTCAGAAAAGTTGTTTTAATTTTACCTGATAGAAAGATATAAAGAGACTGAGATAGATAGACAGACAGACAGATATGAATAGACTAAGATAGATAGATAGATAGATAGATAGATAGATAGATAGATAGATAGATAGATGCGAATCAGTTGAGAGAAATTCATACAAAACTAATGGCCTTTAAGAAAGGGTCTTGCAGGGTTCTCAACCAAGAATCCCTGACCAAATAATCTGATTTTAGCGAATTAGAATTTAAGACATGGGTGGGGGTCAGAAATATTACACTAACCTCTTTTAGATAGATAGATAGATAGATAGATAGATAGATAGATCTGACCAGACTGAGATAGATAGATCTGAACAGACTGAGATAGATAGATAGATAGATAGATAGATAGATAGATAGATAGATAGATAGATATGTGGGATCACTTACATGTGCCACACCTCCATTTCCTTCAATATCATTGGTTTGTAAATATATGATACTTATCATATGACAATTTTGCCATCGCAGGTAATTTGAAATTTTCTCTAAAATCATGGATTGGTCCATTTCCTGACCAATCGTGTATTTTAGTATCTTTTCTATATTTTTAGCACCAAGTTCTCCAGAGCCTATCCATCGTTATATAAAGACTCTCGCTGTTTGCTAACAGCAGTAGCAGTTCAATTCTTGGGAAATAAGGCACGACGCTATATTGACATTTTAATTCTTAATTATCACTCAATCGAGTAATCATACTAATTCCTACTGGTATCACTCATGAACATTACATTTTTCTACACTGATAAAACACTGTGGAACTATTCTTTATTTAGCTAAGACTTCAAATGAACTTTGTAGTTAAATTACATTCAATATTGTACTCAACATTTATTAGCTAAACTTACCCTTTTTATTACGGAAGAAGGGAAGCAACTTTCTTTATACTATTGTTGATATTTGTATATCATTGTTAATACAATATTTTATTAATGTTCACTGAGCTTGATTATTTTTCTCTCGTGTTTGCTGTGCATTATTCATGTGGGGTGTTGTTTTACAAGAACACAGCCTTCATTCTTTATTATATTCACAGTGACCCTAGCCAACAATACTTATAGCACCACTACATTTGATGACCCCGACGTTCGACGTAGGAACCACATTTGGTAACCCTGACGTACCTACTACGATTGATAAACCCGACGTTCGACGTACCTACTACGATTGGTAAACCTGACGTTGGAACTAAATTCTGCACTATAATTGATGAACCTGACGTTCGTCGTAGGACCGTACCTACTACTACATTTGGACGACTTACCGATCCAGTTTATCGAGAGATTACTTCGCGCCAAAACACAACGTGCTTAATCATAATGGCTGAACAGTCCGCACAAGAGACAGCCGTTGTGCTGACCCTCCCAACTTTCGACATGGCTAATGTAAACGTGTGGTTCGCCCAGAATGAAGCCATATTCCAAGCAAAGCATATTCACTCTCAGACTGCGCGTTACGCATACATAGTCGAGAAGCTACCACCAGAGATCGCTGCTGACGTGCTAGACCTTCTAGAAACCGTTCCCGCTCATAACCCCTTTGATGTACTAAAGGAAGCCATCATCTACCGTACTGGAAAATCGCATGAGCGCAGGTTGCACGATCTATTTAATACTATACAGCTCGGAGATAGCCGCCCGTCGCAGTTACTCAGACGAATGAAGAGTCTGTTAGGAAAGAACTCGATGTCGGAATCACTATTCCGCAAACTTTGGCTGGACAAGTTACCGCCATACACTTCACAGATTCTGGCTACGCTTCCCGATGACTTAGATCTTTCGAGAATTGCTGAGATCGCTGATAAAATTAATGACGTACCCAGCATCAGCAGCGTGGACTCCCCTGTACCCACTGACGCTGCTATGATGGATGTAATAGAACAGCTGAAACAGCAACTCGAGAGGCTTTCCACTCAGGTGCAGCATCTTACCAGACCAGAGGATAAAACTCATACAAGGTACGGCGACGCTCTCATTCTGCTAAAAACTCCGACCCACGCTATGCTGGTACCATCTTAACTTCGGTGATAGAGCTTACAGATACATTAAACCGTGTACCTTCAAGCCAACCTTCACCCAAAGCATTACGGAAGGCGAAACGCCGATCCCGCAACACTTGAAGGCGGCATCTACTGTTGGGACACATATTATAACCGTCTCTTCTATATAAAAGACAGGGTTCTAACATGTCATTCCTAATTGTTGAAGCTTAAATAAGCATGGAATAATACAACCAAAATGTACGTTAACAAAATGTATTGAAACAAAGAATAGGTACACAATATTTACAGTTAGTTTGGTATATTCTTGGGAAGACTGTTCCTGCATAATGGGTTGACTAAATCGCAGTCGGGCAGAGTTCTGGATTCAATTTCAATCTTCTACTATCTTCCCCGTCTTCCGGGAACCCATATTTATATGGTCGGTAGTCCGCTTATGTAAATTAGTTCATACACAACACTAATAGATACGGGAGCACAGCTTAGCGTTGTTCCACCATCACCCAACTTCATTAAGACTAACTCTTCAGTCACTTTACGCGCCGCTAATGTCACGAACATCAAGGCTTTCGGCGAACAATCATTAACACTAGATATTGGACTTAGAAGGACATATCAATGGATATTCACTGTTGCAGACGTGAAATTCCCCATATTAGGCGCCGACTTTCTGGCACATTATCAACTCATCGTGGACCTCTCACAGCGTCAGTTATCTGACTCCACCACGAAGCTATCTAACCGCGGAATTGTATCACAGCTAATATCCACAGAATTACGCATCGCTGTGCCGCGTGATAATCCGATTCAAGATATTTTGGATAAATTTCCCTCGTTGATACAACCTTTTACTTATACAGAGCCTGTCAAGCACAGCACTGTACACAGGATTCAAACTACCGAACAGCCTGTCTATTCTAAACCTCGCCGTCTTGCGCCGGATAAATACAAGATTGCCCGGGCCGAGTTCCAACACATGCTCGACCTCGGGATTATTCGCCCATCCTCGAGTCCATATGCTTCACCGCTCCACATAGTCACTAAGGCTCAGCAGGGCGCCTGGAGGCCGTGTGGCGACTACAGACGACTTAATGCACAAACCGTACCCGATAAGTACCCAGTTCCCAATTTGACCGACTTTGCTGTTACCTTACAGGGAGCAACTGTCTTCACCAAACTGGATTTGCGCAAAGTCTTTCATCAGATCCCAGTCGCTGACGAAGATATTCCCAAATCTGCGATTACCACGCCGTTTGGTTTATTTGAATTTCTGCGTATGCCTTTTGGACTGCGCAACACAGCCCAATCATTCCAACGCCTTATAGATGAGGTACTTCGTGAACTACCTTTCACTTTCGCATACATTGATGATCTTCTAATAGCTAGCCCTAATTTACAGGAGCATCGTAAACATATTCAGCAAGTCTTTGATCGTCTTCAGAACTTTAGTTTAAAAATCAACCCAGAGAAGTGTGAGTTTGCCCTTTCGCAACTCCACTTTCTCGGTTTCGTCATTGATGATACAGGTATTACTCCCCTACCTGAAAGGATACGTGCTATCCAGGAATTTCAAAAGCCCTCCACACTTCGACAGCTTCGCAGATACATTGGCTTAATCAATTATTATCGTCAATTCATCCCACGTTGTTCACAAATTCTTGCACCCCCGACGAATATCCTTCACGGGCAAGACCGTAAAAATACTCCTATTTGTTGGAACAACGACGCAACGCAAGCATTTGACAACTCTCGTAAAGCATTGGTCAACTTTACGAAACTTTCATGCCTCACTGACAATGTTACCACTCAGTTATCAATAACGACTGACGTATCTTCTGACGCCATAGGCGCAGTTTTACACCAACATGTTGACGCTAAATCTTTGCCAATTTCCTTCTCTCCGTTACGTTGACGTCCACACAGAAGAAGTATAGTACCTTTTCAAGGGGACTTTTAGCTATATACTTGTCAATTAAGTATTTTAAACACCTTTTAGAGGGTAGACACTTTGTGATCTACACAGATCACAAGCCCCTCACTTTTGCCCTTTCGACTAAATCAGACAAATGCAATCCTCGAGATTACAGATATCTTGATTATATATCTCAGTTAACATCGGATATACGTCACATTAAAGGAAAGGATAACATTGCTGCCGATACACTTTCCAGAGCATCCTTGTGTGGAAGCCTGCAAGATACTTTAGACATGAAAAAAATCGCGGATGAACAAGTACGGGAGATAACTTTGCTCGACTCACTTCGAGATTCGTCACTACATATTGTGGCACCCTGCATTATTAGAAAAACTAAAAAGAAATATTCATAGAAATATGATTTTATTTTATTCGGTTTATTAACCAGTTGTTAGTTATTTAGACGAAGAATCATTAAGTTTGAGAATAATTCTCTACGTGTATTTAGGCGACCCTAAGGGAAGAAGAAGGGAAAAAGAAAAAGGAAAAGAAAAGAAAAGGAGAGGGAGAGATGGGTAATGCAAAAAGCCGGTCATTAGCGAAAACAGGTGTCAAGAGATATCTAGGCCAACGCGCCTGACCGAATTTCAAAAACAATGGAAATTGTTATTTGGAAGAATAGAATTAAAGGTAATTAAAAGAAAGAAAGAAAACAGACTTGGTAAAAGTGTATGAACATACGTACGATTGATAAAAATATCGGTCAAAATATCTGGCCTACTTTTGTGCAGAAGCTCATTATCAATTTGGAGAAATGGGATTTTTAGAACAATGGAAAACGAAATATTAATCGGAGAAGGGTGTCTTTTGGGATGAGAAGGTGACCGCTGGAATTGTATACAGATCTTGACCTGTTGAAGATTAGAACCCCCACGATGAGGAAGTGAAGATATATTCAATTCAGATAATTAAGATTTTGATTATCAGGTCTGAGCAAAAACAGAGAGGCGAAAACAATTGTTTTAGCTCACAGAAAGCGCCAGCGAGACGAGAAAAATTCTTCCTGAAGTCATATCTAATTAGCGGCGGGCTGTTTTGACAAAAGCCAAAAAGTGAGAAAGGCCGAGATTGTCATTTTTCGTGCGTGCGAAAAAGGCCAAATTGGATTTTGTTTTTTTTAGCAAGGTGTCCCTTTCCCAGAACAAAGCCCGGATGGGCCACGCCCGATTGGAGACGTCACGAAGGACGGGAGACGCCCAACCAGAATCTCATTAGCCGAAAGCGGTCACGTGATATGCGAGAAAGAGGAGAAAGGACGCTCGACCAAGACCCATTGGTCGAAAACGGTCACCTGACATACGAGAGACCGAGAGATGGGTATGCGCCTCCACCCAGAGGCACTGTGGAGGAAGTAGGGGGTGAAAATAAGAGCGATAATGGGAAATCAGAACTAATGCGACTTTTGGAATTATCAAGAAAACCCTAACGCCGACAGACCCACCCCAGTTTGTTGCGGCGTCAATAAAAGCAGGACCCCAATCGACAGAAATCAGAGAGTTGCGGGGTAGACGGCCAGAGCAGTTGGAACGCGGGCGGTAGGCCCGGTTCACTCGCCCCTTTGCGGGCAAGAGAATCCGGAATGAAGAAATCCGTCCAGCCAACTCTGAGAGAAGAAGATTGATCGAAAGCCGCAGAGAAGTTGCAGCCAAGTCGAAGAGAAGAAAATTGCTCGTAAAGCTGCAGGCCAGACAGGCCGAAGAATTGCAGGCCAGACAGGAAGAAGAGCTGCAGGCCAGACAAGCAGAAGAGTTCAGCCCCGGAAGGCAGAGAGAAGAGATCACCTCAGACGGCAGAGAGAAGAGTTCGGACATTGGCGAGAAGAGTTGCAGGACGGAAGAAGAAGTTACTTGCAGTTGCGTCTAGAAGAAGTTGAAACCAGGCCAAGCCTGAGGGTGGGAATTCGTCCAACCCAAATCGAAGTGAAGAAATTCGTCCAACTCAATCCGAAGTGAATAAGCTCGTCCAACTCAAGCCGCAGAGAAGAATCAGCCGTGAACGACTGGTAGAGATTAGCGCCCAGTGTCGAAACTAAACCACACTCCGACATACAAAATTCTAGAGAGTAGGCAACTCGAAGTCTTTAAGTTGTATGATAGAAGCTTGGTGCCACAGTCCACAAAGCGGGTCGGGAAGTAAGAATAATTTTTATGTAACGAACATTAGATATAAAAGGTTGTTACCCTTTTTATCAGTAATTTTTTGGCCTCGTGAGTTTTCTTTTACTTGTGTGTTGCCACCCCGTCGAACTCAACTTGCATACGGCCCCAATCCCTGTTTGATCCCGTCTGTCTAAGATCTAATCACAACGTGGGTAGGCAGACCGGAGATCAGTACAGTTACCCTAGTAACCAGGTGTTGGAAGCGAGTTGGGAACGGCGAGGCTGGTAATCATCTAACCAAAGGGTTGGAACGTCACACTTGGAGCAGCGAGGAGCGAACAGCTGACGCCGCGGCAAAAACGTCACGTCACAGTTGGAGCCGCGAACGAGATCGAACGACAGAGTCGACGCTGCAACCAGGAGGAGCGACGTCACCGTTGGCGCCGTGACCAAAGGATTCGACCATGGACCAAGTGACGTCACATATGGTGCCGTGACCAGGATTTCAACCCTGAGACAACCACGTCACATCACATCGATCGACCGCCGTTGCTGAAAATTCACACAGGACCCAGAACGACCCGGGACCGAAAAGAACAAGAACAGAATCGTCTGTAAGGTAGAACACTTTATTTTATTTCCCAACCTCGATTGTTGCTGCATAGATTGTCTTTCTCTGTAGATATGTCAGACTATGATTCAGATAGAGCAGTGGGGGGTGAAGAGGAAGTAAGACAGGGGTTTTCAGTTGATTTAAGAAAGCTGTTAGGTGGACCGAGGGTCCCAGTATTTGACGGCAGCGGGAAAGAATTTAAAAACTGGCTGGCAATCCTTGAGAAGAGCCGAATTATCTACGAGCTTTCAGACCAAGAAACCCTGTATTTGGCATACGATGCCACAAAGGGGAAAGCATCTGAGTTCGTGAAGGAGCTCTTGGAGAGTCAACCCCGCTTGTCTTGGGAAGGGATAAAAAGACTGTTAACAAAAGAGTTCGCCGACGAAGGCACAGCCATAGAGGCCATGAGGGCCCTCCTAAAACTGACACAGCTGCGGGATGAAACCCCGGGAGAATTGGGGGCCCGAGCAGGGAAGCTGTCGTCATTGGCATTCCCAACAAATAGGAGTATTTTTACGGTCTTGCCCGTGAAGGATATTCGTCGGGGGTGCAAGAATTTGTGAACAACGTGGGATGAATTGACGATAATAATTGATTAAGCCAATGTATCTGCGAAGCTGCCGAAGTGTGGAGGGCTTTGGAAATTCCTGGATAGCACATATCCTTTCAGGTAGGGGAGTAATACCTGTAGCATCAATGACGAAACCGAGAAAGTGGAGTTGCGAAACGGCAATAATAAGAGATAATGCGGTTATGCAGGCCCAACTAGCGGACCTGTATGTAGAGGCGCTGAGTGACGAGCGTGTTCGTCACGACGTACTAAAAGAGGGACCGCTGAGACTGTCGGCAGCAATAGAGCTGGCCAGGGAGAGCCAGGGCGTGTGGGAAAAAGTGAAGAGGTGTGGGAAGAAGCAAATGCCAATTCAGGAGGCTGGAAGAAGGGTGGTAGGCGGAGGATCCCCTGCGTGGAATCAGAAGGTTAAAGTAGAGGTGGATCGGGCAGAATTATGGGAAGAAGACCCCAATAGAAAGGCATGGTCGACCAGGCATGGCTTTTATAAGCCCACGCCGGGTCGATACGGGCTGATCTGCTGGACCTGTGGGGCACGAGGACCACAGGGCGGCGGAATGTCCGACGAAGTGGGGGTTGCCCCAGACTTCAATCAGGACAGATGCACCAGGTGTGGTAAGAAAGGACACCTGGCCAAGTGGTGCGGGCTGAGGAAGGGTGCCCCACCGATATTAACAAAGAAGGCTGAGCCCAAGAGACCGGCCCAGGGAAAAGCCAGCGGGCCACCCCGGAATTAAGAGGGAGGGTGGCCCAGTTAAAAAGGAGAGAAATAAAAGCTTGGACCAGTGGACGGGCGAACCGCTTGAATAGAGGACGGTTCCCCTGAATACACAAAAGCCAACCCAGTTAAAAAAGCAGAGAAATAAAAGCTTGGACCAGTAGACGGGCGAACCAGCTTGAATAGAGGACGTGTTCCCCCCCAGGAATAGACAAAGGCCAACCCAGTTGAAAAAAGGAAAAGGGCAAAATGTTGGACATGTGGTCGGGCCCACTTTGCAAGCTGTCCAACAAGAATGTGCTGGTTTTGCAGGAGGCCAGGACACCTGAAGAGAAACTGTATTTTTAGAAA